TGGAATTCCTCACTAAGGTATCCAGGTGAGCAAGTGGACGTTATATGACACACTAAATGAATTGTGCGATCATATCTCATAAACTCTAACGGTAGGCAGCGGCTTGGCTCTGCCCCTGGCATTGCTCACGTCCATGGGCGATTGTATCCACTCACCATCGGGTGAGCCGTATGCTCGTCTGCGCTTACAAGGGCATAAAAAATGAATATATCATAGAACTATAAATTAATACTTAAAACTTGAGGGCTCATTTTATTGCAAATAATGCATTTTGGCTTATGATAAAAAAATTAAAGATTATTGCACTCTTACTTTAATCGATTTATGAAGGTACTACGAACAAAAATTAAATTCACAAAACCTTTACCCAGACTCAAGTCTAGGCTTAAAGCTTCAGAAGCATGTTCATATTCCAGCTTTATCTACGTTAGTGGGACGCAGGTGTCTTCAATGCATGACCCCCCAACCCCCCAGCCCCCTCCTCATGACGCCGCGATAACACACTGTCACATCCCTTGATGAATTGCTTATTAGATTGTCGGGAGCGTTCATGTTTGTGCTTATTTTCGCGCCAATATACAACAGCAATTTTTTTTTCCATCTTATTTCTCGTTTGTTGTAAAAAAAAATACAAAATTTATTGCTTTCCGAACGATTCTGGTTATTATGTTGTTCGTTTTTTTTTTTTTGCGGGCGGCGTTTAGATTCATCTTTGAAATGTTCGCATCGTATTAGTTGCGAGAAAAAGTTTAATTGAGTTAAAATTGCTTTGTATAAGAATTGCGGTGTTATTAAATTGTCGAATAATGTTTTTGAGCGAAGAGAATTCATTCGTGAACCATCAGCAGAGAATTCATCATCATTGTTGAGAGTACATTTAGATGCAAAAAGGATGGGTTTCTTATTTAACATCGATGGAAGTCGAGCTGGGCTTTTCTCCTACTTATTCCAGATTCGCGCGGACGAGGAACTAACTGACTTATCACTCCGAGTATTGTGTTTTACAGCACTTAGGTATGACATAGTGAAGATTGCCGTTTAGTTTACATATATGAGATGCAATCCAAGTCTATCAAGAGGCATATTTCGCTGCCATTATTGTAAGGAAGCGGTTATTGGCCGTATTTACCTATTTTCTTTGCGAAAGAGCTCTCGTATCTTAAGTGGTTATCGCAAATCAGACTTCGCAACGCTACACTTCGAATTGTATTGTACGACGACTGTCGCTACACTGTAATCCATAACGCCCAACCCTTGCGTGCCTACAATACGCCCTACTACCAATATTACTAACAGTAAATAACACGGTGCATTCGTGTTGAGCGATGCACTAGTGTTCGAATCCAAGGCGGGTGCCAATTTTTCAACGAATGAAATACGTACTTAACAAATGTTCATGACTGACTTCCGCGGTGAAGGAATAACATCGTGTAATAAAAATCAAACCCGCAAAATTTTAATTTGCATAATTACTGATGGTAGGACTGAGTCCGCATGGGTAGGTACCATCAACCTGCCTATTTCTGCCGCGAAGCAGTAACGCGTTTCGGTTTGAAGGGTGGGGCAGCCGTTGTAACTATACTGAGGTCTTAGAACTCATATCTCAAGGTGGGTGGCGGCATTTACGTTTTAGATGTCTACACGTAGTCTATTGTAGATGTCGTTGTTCCGGTAATCACTTAACACCAAGTGAGCTGTGAGATCGTCCACCCATCTAAGCAATAAAAAAAAACAAAAAAAACATCGTCACACTATTTTTCTATCCTGGTCCTGTCAAAAGTACTTGTAGTTAGACGCGTGTAAACTCTAACACGGGTTCCTACTATATGAGTTCCATGAACCGTCACCGAAGCGAAAAATGCAATCTACTACGTAAACGGATAACAAACCACGGACCACGAACCAACGGACCAACGGACCACGGAGAAAAAGCCATGGCCGTTGGTCGGATTAGGTGACCGAAGTACTCAAAAGGCCAATACCTCAGGCCCTTCAGGTCGAAGATCATAGCAAGTGCAGTATGTTGCTGCAGAGTGACCGTCCAATATCTCAGGCCCTTCAGGTCGAAGATCATAGCAAGTGCAGTATGTTGCTGCAGAGTAGCCGTCGAAGCCACGATATTCATTAGGGAGAAAACGACTTGAGGCGGAAGGGAAGCATAAATTGACCCTATCGTTTTTTTTATTGCTTAGATGGATGGTCGAGCTCACAGCCCACCTGGTGTTAAGTGGTTACTTAAGTCCATAGATATCTACAACGTAAATGCGCCACCCACCTTGAGATATAACTTCTAAGATCTCAGTATAGTTACAACGGCTGCCCCACCCTTCAAACCGAAACGCATTACTGCACGGCAGAAATAGGCAGGGTTGTGGTACCTACCCGTTCGGACTCACTAGAGGTCCTACCACCAGTATACCTATTGCCTATTGCTGGCACCAGCAACATTAAGTGGAGGTGGACTCTTCGCAATAATTGCAGTTATAAAACCTTTGGAAAAGGTTATTTCGACATGGATTTCAATTTAGTTAATACCCACCATGCGTGACATCTGCCTTTGTTTCAGGAAACCATACCACTAACATATAAAACATTTCGTAAAAACATATTGAAATATAAAACGCATTTTTAAATAAAGCATGCTTACTGACGTAAATTAATATTTAATCTGCAGACGGATTGGAGCCGAAAACGCGCTTTGTTCCGCCAAAAACATTCAATTTTACAATTAAATAAACAACGATTTATGTACTATTAATTTAAAGGCAATGTTTGAAGTAATAATAATGTGAATCCAAAATATTTCACAATTCCTATTCACTGCAATAAAAATATGATTGTTAACATATTGAATACGTTTTTTTTTTAGTTTTTGTGTTATATTCGTAAGTTACTGAAATGTTTTTTTATTCATAGTAATATAGAAAAAAAATCTTTTAATCTTATTACTACATCTGCGCGAATTTATCTGTATACCTATGTTATTATTTAGAAGCCGCATTCGTAAATCTAGAGCTCAGGAATTATTTAAGATGATCTCATCATCTTTTTCGGCCGTACCACCCACCTAAGCATAAGCTCTGAAATACTGTCCCCTCCCTCCGTTTTTCCACAGCCCTGTGACCTGTCCAAATGAGGTTTAAATACAGTCCTTAGCGGGAGACACCGGATTTGGGTGTGCCCATGGCCTAACATCAGAAAAACATGGAGACTCTTTCGGTACTGCATATATATGGTTTTTACTTAGCAATGCAATGTAATCTATCTAAATTCTACGGATTTTTTACATTCAGAATTAAATTTCTTTATATGCATCATGTTTCCTATTTTTGTCAAGATTTTTTTTATTTCTCTTGATCGTATGAGCTCCTATCTTATTATTATTATTGGTTATTGAAGCACTTACACGGGAAAGTAGCAATCTTTTGTCATCATAAATAGGACGATTCGTCATCGTCTAAGCCACTGGACCTAAAAAGTAGAAATTTTGCCAGTTAGGTAAGACCTCTTGTGAGTCCGCGCGGGTGGGTACCACCACCCTGCCTATTTCTACCGTGAAGCAGTAATGCGATTCGGTTTGAAGGGTGGGGCAGCCGTTGTAATTATACTTGAGACCTTAGAACTTATATCTTAAGGTGGGTGGCGCATTTACGTCGTAGATGTCTATGGGCTCCAGTAACCACTTAACACCAGGTAGGATGTGAGCTCGTCCACCCATCTAAGCAATAAAAAAAAAAGTTGATGTCTTCATGTTGAAAACGACTTTTAAGAATGATTTTGATAAATTTGAAGGGATTAACGATTGTATGGAATTTCGTATTTTACAAAGTAAGAAACACGTACATATTTCTATACATCTATTTCTGGTTTAAAAAAAGTATTTATTTTATAAGCACGAATTAGATGTTGAAGAACGGGAAGTTCGTCACTTTTCTATTAATTTCAATATAAGAATCATCGATTTCAATTAATAAGCTTCGAAAAAAGCTTATGAAGTGTTGAACACTTGTACACATGTAATTATATAAATAATTACACATGTAATTACTGTAATGTTGATGTCGTCGTGGCCTAACGGATAAGACGTCCAGTGCATTCGTGTTAAGCGATGCACCGATGTTCGAATCTCAGGCGGGTACCAATTTTTCTAATGAAATACGTACTCAACAAATGTTCACGATTGATTTACACGGTAAAGGAATAACATCGTGTAATAAAAATGAAACCCGCAAAATTATAAATTCCGTAATTACTGGTGGTAGGACCTCTTGTGAGTCCGCACGGGTGGGTACCACCACCATGCCTGTTTTCTGCCGTGAAGCAGTAATGCGTTTTGGTTTGAAGGTACTCCACGTAGACGTTGTAACTATACTTGAGACCTTAGAACTTATATCTCAAGGTGGGTGGCGCATTTACGTTGTAGATGTCTATGGGCTCCAGTAACCACTTAATATCAGGTGGGCTGTGAGCTCGTCCACGCATCTAAGCAATAAAAAAAAAAGTTACATATCCGTCATTTTGTTTCTGACGTATGATACATGAGGTACAGTCATTTAAAAGACCGCATCATTTGTATTGTTTGTTTCCCTCTACAGAACAGTCATATTTCGATGCCACTCAGTACGTGTTGTATCACAGCGCTACAAACATTTTTATTATTTAAAACAAGTCGCGAAAAACTATCTATGTATGTTTGCGATGTGTTCATAAGTGAGCACTTTATCAGTCATTTGTGTCGTGAAGTTTATTCAAATAGAAGATTTTATTGGATTTGCAAGTCAGTATCTAAACTTGAAGTAGATTTAAAGCTCTTCCAAATATGTGATCAATATAAACCATTTTTTCTCAATTCAAAATTTAACAGTTCCCAATTAAGAGAGGCATTAGTAGCTTAGTCGTTTTTTTTTAAAACCTACTCAATATTTGCTCCAATATTTGGGTACAATTAACAGAAACAGCTTGTAGTTTTTCTTTTTAACATATATTTTCTTTGTTCGCAGATGAATCCACGAGATGGCAACCAATGGATTTGACCTCAGAAACTAAAAACCACAAAATGGCTTTAGAGCCCTTAGAAAAGGCTGTTTCGACGAAGAGGACGGGCTTAGAGGATCTGAAATCTCTGCTAGAGGACAGAGGGGGAGATGAGACGGACTCTAGTGAGGGACGTGTACATAGACTTCTTAGTGCGAAAACGAATATAAAGTGCTTTAATAGGTTAAAAACAATGTTGTTTCTACTTGTGATGGTTGTTTTCGACGGGAGGATGCTCGCTGAAGCCAGGAGTTCAGGTTAGTTCAATTTTGATAGCTCTTTCGATATTATTTTGTTCTGTGTTTATCGTTTCTGTTATTGTCAATAGTATTATATTCTTCTTAAATTCAGAAATTATTTCTTATCCATTTGAAATAATTTCAATTAAAAAACATAGGCGCGTATATTAGTGGATGAGTTAGAAATGAACGAGGAGAGCCCAAAATTGGATTCAGTAGTGCAAATTGGAAGAGGCCTATGTCCAGTGGTAGACTGGTATGGGCGATCATGATAATGCTGACATTAGTAATATACTATCTAATAAAATTAGTAGATATAGATGTTCAAATGTTTATCTAATAACCAGTAGGTCACATAATAATAAAATTAATTATATATCTTTTTTTATGAATAAAAAACAGGATTTTTAGTGTTCACAAGTATGTCAAGTTAAATTTTAACAAATCATCAATATTGTTTGAGTGGATTTTAAGAAGCATTCAGTCCCAAAGGCCTGGTATTTGCTTGTTAATGATGACACACCACACACCACCACAGTACCACATTTTACCATTCCAATAACTCTTTACTACTGTTAATCTTAAATCATAAATTCTATGAAACAACGGATTTTTGTATTACTCATTACTTACTCATCACGGTTAATACCAATGTAAATTAACACACAATGCGTAAAGTGAATGTAAATCTGTAAAATTTTTGTTTAAACACGAACAGAAATCGCAGATTTCACCACACATGACTAATTTCTTTATGAACAATACCGTACTAGAAATATGCACATGTTTAATTGCTTATTGCCCTGTAGGAGCGTATGGTCCACCTGTTGGTGAGTGGTTATCGTCACTCATTTGCTCATATTTTGTAAATGGTACTGTCGAAATTTGGCGTACTTATGTTCTGAACACAATTTCTCTAAGTGCAACATGTACCGCAGAAGACTCGCAACCAGCTCTCGAATGTAGATGCAAACAATTTGTAGGATACAATTCGACTTATAAACTAATAACAAAAATACATAAAGTCTAAAGTAAGATAAACATTCTATTTTTCAATCCACTCAAAGAACGAATGAACAGATATTTTGTTCTGAATAAACACTATTGTGTTCTGTTTGTCAGTTTAATAGCTTTCGTCCATTGAACGGATGAGGGAGATATATAAAACTTCTAACTGCAAAAAACTAATCCGTTGCATAATCCTCATGAAAACCCTTTCAATAATCTCGAAACACTCATTCCGCTAATCGATTGCCGAGCCGAAACAGTGAAACATAACACGATTGGATTATGCTCAGACACCCGGCGGAAAAATTAAATTGTTATTTTCCCTAATTGCTTCATCCAATACGGAGACCCAACAAAAAAGGTCCACTGAGACGTGAACCGCTTAAAATTGTATAGAAACCAATAAAAACCACGAAAAATATCAGAGCAGGTAAACCGAGTGGTCCAATCATTCCATAATCCATTAAGATTTTGCTCCGCTTCGGCGAGCACACTTCCAAACTCCCGCGAGGTAAATATTTCAGCCCCACCTCTACCAAGTATAATGTATTCCGCACCCCCTAGACCTCATCTTTCCATCCCTATTTTGCATGAAGGGGGAATTTAAATTGTGTAATCTAACTTCCAATTCATTCATACATCTAGCGCCATCTCTTAGTGATAAATTGAAACTCGGACTTATTCAGTCATTTGGCTTTCAAAGTTGGACCCGAGCGGTCGTGTCGACAGGTATATTGATATGTAAATCATTCTGAGATATTTCCGAGTTCATGTCGCCCGGAATAAGTTTTAAACTAGGTTACTAATGTTTTCTCATCTAGATAGATTACTGCTAGTGCTAGTAGTCCTAGAGTTTTTTAACGTTTAAGTAAATAAAGCTAAAGTTGAAGTTATTGTTCACCCTATCGGTTAAATTTGGTTCTAACGTATTGTAATGTATTGATCAAAGTTGACTATTTCTAGGAGTCTATGATCTTTAAACGATTGATCTAAAAATGAGTCTAGTCATTGGTACAACTGCGTGAAAAATACAAAATACACATACATGCGTGCATCCCGGTATTAAAAATACTATATTTACCACCGCCCCGTCTATTTCTGCCATGAAGCAGTAATGAGTTTCGGTTTGAAGGGTGGGGCAGCCGTTGTAACTATACTGAGATCTTAGAACTTATATCTCAAGGTGTGTGGCGCGTTTACGTTGTATATGTCTATGGGCTCCAGTAACCACTTAACACCAGGTGGGCTGTGAGCTCGTCCACACATCTAAGCAATAAAAAAAAAAAAATGTATATGTGACGTTGCGATTCTTATTAAAACCCCATTTAAATTAAGGTATTTTTTTTAAAAAGCCATCTCGTACAGGATCAAATGTCATTTTTGTCATTTTGCAACGAGGTAGGTCGTCCCGTTTCATACGTTTCCGCGTGAAATCCTTTTGTCTTCATTTAGAAAACCATTTCTCTTGTTTACCTTTTATCCGGTTAGAAAAAAGCATTGCCGTTTTTGAAGGGCTCCCGAGTGTTTTATTTCGGAAATGTGTTTTAATAGGATCATGTGCCTATATACTTTTTTCTTAACAAGATTTCACGTGACTTTTCGCGTCCTTTTCTTTTTAAGGTAATTTGTGAATTACGAACTCTTCTATGAGATCTGGCGACTTTGTTTTGTGTGTGAATTGAATTTATCGTTACGTTCTATTCGTATTATTTAGAAAAAGGTTAAAACATTAAAGTTATTGTTCGGAACTCGGATATATGCAAGCTTATCTTGAAGTTGTCGTTAGCGGGATTCAGGCATCTGTCAAATGCCTTGTGTTCCATAATGACTACCGCCACAACTTGTTTATAGTTATATCATTTATGTTGACCATCAAAAAGGGTAGTTAGAATTAGTGGCCCCAATCTCTTTACCCAGCGATTAACAAACTTTACAAATTCTCGACATGCTTACATACACACACATTCATACTTACACGCAACTTACTACTTACTTACATTCATACTTACACACAAATTTTGGGATAGTTGAAGTGAAGGTATATTTTATTATATTTATTAAATTAGAGTTCATTAATCTATTAAACGTATATGTACAATTAACATTGTATATTTCCCCAAATGTACCCGCGAGACGTAATTCCCGGGTCACCTTTGATAAAAATATCGTATTTGTAAATTTCGCGACCACCTTGACAGAGGTATGCGACAACACTAAATTAGTTGGTACCGAAGTCAATTTACACCTCAGTGTGGATGAACTTCCACCTCAAGACGAGAGGTTGAAGTTGTAATTGCCTAGTAATTACTGTTACACAACATCGCGATTTCTTGGCGACGTGTCGTATGCCTTAAAAATAACGCTTTTTTTTTTATTGCTTAGATGAGTGGACGAGCTCACAGCCCACCTGATGTTAAGTGGTTACTGGAGCCCATAGACATCTGCAACGTAAATGCGTCAACCACCTTGAGATATAAGTTCTAAGGTCTCAGTATAGTTATTGTATAAATAACCAATAAAATTACATGTGTGCAATTCACACGTGGTAGAAGTGAAACCTTCCAAAATTAAAATACAATTATCCTAAACGTCTTAAGTATATGTAAAATTTTGTCATTAGTAAATAATTGTAAGGTAGCGCCCTCTGTGAATTGATATTTTAATTTCACGTATAATCCTAAATTAAAATTCACTACAAGAGCTTTCATGCACACGTTAGTATTAAAAAATCTCACAGATGGCGCTGTATTAAATAGTATGTATATTTCTGTCTCATTCTTTGCTGGCTTCATCCTACACATTTTTGTATTTGTTTCTCTTACCTGTCGTTTTTTCCGTTGCATCCGGTTTGAAATCACAACGATTCTATAGAAGTTTTCACTTCAAAAAAATTATGCAGTTACTATTTTCACGGGACAGTACAGGGAAAAGAATTTCGTAACACGCATAAGCTTTATGAGGCCGAGAGAACAGGTGTGAAGCGTGTATTCCGTGCTATATAACGCACACAAAAGTTTTTACAAAACATTTCGGCTCCATTGACCTTCTTTGTTCGGCTTTGTTTCAACTATTTTGCATGACAATGGACTTGCCATGAAAAGTTTTATTCGTTTTTTTTTCTTCTTTTTGTTTTAGTCGATAGTCGTCTGTTGCAATAGTTTGTGATATGTTTTCGCTGTATTGCTTAGTATAATAGTTGTGAATTGGGTTGGATTTGATCTGCCTACTAACAATCATGGGTTTAGCTAATTTGCTGATTGCTTTGATAATGGGCTTGCAGTTGACCAATTTTTGTTTTTTTGCCTACCTATTCTAGTAACCTCGACGGGTTATTCTAGATTCGCCGAGCTTGTAGGTGAGCTCACGGGGCTCAAACCTGACGACGTCGCTAACACGAACTATAGCAAGAGCCGTGCTTCGCAGAATCTACTCCCGGATTGATTTGATTTGATTTGATCGGAAACGCGACCCACTGAGAAGATCCGGCGAGAAACTCAGTGGGCTGTATCTGTGGGTTAATTTACTCGTCGAGGCCTTCGTCGCAAGCGACGGGTTCGACGAGAATCATGACCGGATGACCAACTAAATGGCATAAAGTTTATATATGTCCTAAAGGCCTTATCTATTTATACACATATACACATATTATGAAAGTCCATCTGTCAGTCCCGAAAAGGATTTCAAAGTAAAGCACGCAACCACACTCTTATTTATTAAATAACTAGTCATGTCATAAGTATTGTCACACAGTAAAAACTTTTCTTTTAGAATGCTGGCCACAAAAAAGTTTATTGAATTCGAATTTCGAATTGTTCATGAAAATAAAAATGTATACTTTTAGAATTTTACTCATTTTTAAATATGGAGTGGACGCTTAAAGAAGACCGTGTTGCAGTTATTGCGTTGCATCGTTGCGGTTACGCGCCAATTNTAAAATTTTGTCATTAGTAAATAATTGTAAGGTAGCGCCCTCTGTGAATTGATATTTTAATTTCACGTATAATCCTAAA